CGGCAGAGTTGGACAGTCTTCCCTTGCGAGTGTCCCAGTAGTGAATGGCATCGGTCACCAGCACACGTGCAAGCAAAAGACATTCGGTTGGTGTGCATCCAATCTGTGTCAGAAACACGCGCCCTGGGGAAACAACAAGATGGCATAATCATGCAAGGGAAGGGTTTCCGTACCACGTGCTCAAGCCATGCCATGTGGTACAGCTTGAGATTCAATGTGACGTTCACCATTCTTAGCTTGAACGCAGCACGCGCACAGGCCGCGAAGGCCCCTAACGCAAAGGGCATGAGCCCCGGTCCTTGCTCCACTTTGAAATCGCAAATACATCTGCGCATACAGAGCGTCTGCTACGATGTGAGGAAAATCATACCTCCCTCCACGTACACCCACTCAAACCCCCGTATGCTTACTTGTCAGTCCGACGCACACCTTCACTTTCGTCGCCGTGCGTGCCTTGGGTGCCGCCCATGGGCTCCAATCGTTGCGCTTGTCTCGGAAAAGGCCGACCTTGGTGTCAGAAACCCAACCACTAGACCATTGGGATAAAAGGGCTTGTTTCAGTAGCGGGTCAGTGCGCCCATAACCCCCCAGGCAAACGCGCCTGTAACCCCCCTTAGGATCGATCGGGGATCTCACAGTGTAGCTCTACTGACACTTGGAAAGTGCGATGTCGCATACACGACCTGCAGCCGCCGTCTTCCAGTCGCTCAACGTGTGGTTAAGATCAGAGCGACGAGCTTTGTCAGCCGCCATCACGGAAACTAGGCGTCAGGTGCTCGATGACGGCGCACAACCCGGCACTCTTTGCCGCACGACATAAACTTTTCCTCCGTGTCGAAGAACAGGTGCACCCTCAGCTCCTCACTGATTTCCTGTATTGTCAGTCGCGCACGACAAACACACAAGCAGAGAGGCGCTTCATTAGGGACAAAGGACCGCTCATGCAAGGCCAATCCATGTGAGCAGAACACAGAAACGCGCACTCGGCTCCAAATTGCCAGCATACCTTCCACCCTTTATTGGCTGGGACTTCAACGCCCTCTGTATGATCGGAGAGCTCGCAGTGCGTTTGTGGCGCCCAATCTCTTCGTCCATATCTTGCTCATCCACTGAAGCCTCGGGAGCCGACACACGACGGTTTCTTTTAGCCCGTTGTGCCCCCTTGCACTCAACGCGTGCATTGTCCTGCTTGAGTTTCTTCGCGGTGTCGTTCGCAAGGGATGACAGCAGAGTCGTCTCGACCGTCGCGAGGGTTGCTGCCGTGTCCTTCTGGAGTATGCGCATCGCATACATCTCTGCGCGACTCACTGGCTCCAAATCTGAGCATTCTTTGTGTGTTGCTTCGTCCTCACCGTCAACCACAGCATTCACGGGGGGAAGTGCTTCGTTGGGCTTGTCGTCGAAGGACTCAAGTTCCGGACACCGGCGACGGCGCTTCGGCTTCTCCGTCTTCCTCCACTAGTTCAGAAACCTTGCAATGCTTCTCAGGGCGCGTGGAACGCCCATCATCATTCGACGTTGCCGAGCCCGCCCTGCGCCGATTTGAGGCCGTGTCCCAGGACGACGAGCTATCGCCCTCCCGTGCGTCGCGCGCACTTAAAATGGGCGATGACGCTGCGGAAAACAAACGAACTACTCGGATTAGGGGTGGTAAACGTATAACAAAAATAATGAAAGACAGAGCACCAATGCGTGTACCACGGTCCGACGTGACGCGTGGTGGAGCACGAGTAGCGACCGGTGCCTTCGGCACCGGGGGATGCTTGGAGGTTCCAGGCAGCACATACTGCCTCAGGTGCTTGGGAGGCTGGGACACGCGCTGCCGTTTACCCTCTCTAGACGCCTACATGCTCTTGTTGCCACTATCCATGTTGGCAGCGGCAGAGAGGTAGTCGATGTGCACAATGGTTCCCTGTCCGTCCTTTGTGCACAAAGTTTAGTCGTCCAAACTTACCGTCCACCCAGCGGCTCAACCTTACGTAAAGAAATCCCTGAGCCAATGAGAACACGCCACAACAACGCCAGACACATAGTTCTTATCTCGCTCAACCAGACGCATTTGTGTCCAACCATATGCACCCAAGCGTAACCACTATGCTTGTATGTTTACATGTACACGACCATCTTGATACACCCAAAAACCTTACGACACCATCAAAGACAATAAAACACATCATTCAAGTTTTCCTAATCCAGCATGTAATCACACATATTCGCATCAGTTTATGCGATCAGTCGGCCTAGTTACACCATACACCAAGACACTCTTGTTAGAAGGAAATGCTGCAAAATGTCTGCGCAACAAAATGTCTGCGCTGGGATTCGAACTTGTGACCTTCAAATCCGTCCTGAAAGTGTCTCAGGACAGATTCAGGACAGTTTCTGCTAAGACGAGGGTTATGGTGCACACGAGTTTCGAACTGGAGACCTTTTGATTCAAGTGTCCCGAAAGTGTCTTGTCAGGACAGTTTGGGGACAGATTGGGGACGGGTTTGGCGAAATCGATCTCGAGTCGCGTTCGGTTTGAAACTCGGCAGCGAACTGTCGAAGTCAACGAAATTCGCACGGGAGTTACAGTCGGTGGTCGACGGAATTCTTGTCGCGGAAATTCTCGTCTACGGAAGTCCAGTCAATGGAATTCGCTCCGCAAAATTCAAGGCTCAGAATTTCGCGTCGACGAAATTCAACGTGCGACCCGGGTCGACACTTTCTTGTGTGCTTTTATTTTGTATTGCGTCCTAGTATAAAACCAGAGAGCACAAACCAGAAATCATCCAAGTCATTATCACTGCTATGTTTGTGTGTATCTCTGGCTATAGTGGACTGTTTCCTGCAATCTTTGGTGCGTTGGAATCGTGCTTTTGAGCTCTATAAAGCTGCTATAGTTGTGGAATTCTACATGGTATCAGAGCTGCGTTATCTGCATCGATCCAAGTAGCGGCTTGATATCGTCCTCCCATCACTTCGTTCCCTCGTTGGTGTGGCCGACGCTCGTTTTGACCGCGGATGGAGTCGTAACAAGCGCCGAGGGCCTGAATGCCCATCAAGAGCTGGAGGCGTCTGTTCGTGAGCACCACCCTAACTTGCGTGATGAGGTCAACCTCATTCGCTCTCAGACTCGTGTGCTGAAGACCATCTCCCCAAGCCCGTCAGCTCAACTTCATTCGCTCTCATACTCGTGTGCTTGAGCCTATCTCCCCAAGCCTGTCAGCTCAACTTCATTCACTCTCAGACTCGTGTGCTCAAGCCCATCTCCCCAAGCCCGTCAGCTCAACCTCGTTTTCTCTCAGACTCGTGTGCTCGAGCCCATCTCCGCCAGCCCATTAGCTCAACCTCATTTGCTCTTAGACTCGTGTGCTCGAGCCCATCTCCCCAAGCCTGTCAGCTCAACTTCATTCGCTCTCAGACTCGTGTGCTCGAGCCCATCTCCCCAAGCCCGTCAGCTCAACCTCATTTGCTCTTAGACTCGTGTGCTCGAGCCCATCTCCGCCAGCACGTTAGCTCAACCTCATTTGCTCTCAGACTCGTGTGCTCGAGCCCATCTCCCCAAGCCTGTCAGCTCAACTTCATTCGTTCTTAGACTCGTGTGCTCGAGCCCATCTCCCCAAGCCCGTCAGCTCAACCTCATTCGCTCTCAGACTCGTGTGCTCGAGCCCATCTCCCCAAGCCCGTCACCTCAACCTCATTCGCTCTCAGACTTGTGTGGTCGAGACCATCTCCCCAAGCCCGTCAGCTCAACTTCATTTGCTCTCAGACTCGTGTGCTCGAGCCCATCTTGTCAGAACATTATAGCTTATGCTGTTGTGTAGGCTATAGTGGGGTATCCCACAGGGGGTACAACCCAATGAGGGTTAGTACTTGTACTCACTTCATTTCATAGTTCATTCATTCTCGTTCATACTTTCTCATGGTATCGAGCAGGTTCCCTCGTGGGAACTGTCCCTAGGGCCCACCGAACTTTTTTTTCCTGCCCGGGGCGCTTTCTGCCCCTACCCGAAGCGCGCTTGAGTCACGCCCTTCTTAGCGACCCGTCGCGTCGCCCTTAGCAGCGGCCCGTCGCCGCCCTAGCAGCGGCCCGTCGCCGTCCTTCTCACTTGCGGCTCGACGCCGCCCTTCTCACCTGCGGCCCGACGCCGCCCTTCTCACCTGCGGCCCGTCGCGTCGCCCTTAGCAGCGGCCCGCCGCCGCCCTAGCAGCGCCCCCCCGCCGCCCTAACAGCTGCCCGCCGTCGCCCTTGACAGCGGCCCGCCGTTGCCCTTAGCAGCGGCCCACCGTCGCCCTTAGCAGCGGCCCGCCGCCGCCCCAGCAGCGGATCCGTCGCGTCGCCCTTGGCAGCGGCCCGTCGCCGCCCTTCTTTCTGCGGCCCGTCGCTGCCCTTACCCTAGCGGCGGCCCGTCGCCACCCTACCAGCGGCCCCTCGCCGCCCTTACCCTAGCGGCGGCCCGTCGCCACCCTACCTGCAGCCCGTCGCCGCCCTTACCCTAGCGGCGGCTCGTGGCCACCCTACCAGCGGCCCGTTGCCGCCCTTACCCTAGCGGCGGCCCGTCGCCACCCTACCTGCGGCCCGTCGCCGCCCTGACCCTAGCGGCAGCCCGTCGCCGCCCTACCAGCGGCCCTTCGCCGCCCGTCTCTACTGCGGCCTCTGCCACCCTCTACTGCAGCCACGCCGCCCTCTGCTGCGGCCTAGCCGCCTCTCACCTGCTGCAGCGCCGCCCACCACCACGACTGCCAGACCCGCCCCACCCAGCCGAGCAGCCAACCGCCGCGCCGCCCTGCAGCAGCACCGCCGAGCCGCTCAGCAGCCGAGCCGCCCTGCAACCGAGCAACCGAGCCGCCCAGCAGCCGAGCCGCCCAGTTGCCGAGCCGCCGAGCCGTCGAGCCGCCGAGCTGCCGAGCCGCCCTACTTTCGAGCTGCCCGAGCTACCCAGTCCGGTGAGCACAGCGCCTCTTTCACTGCACTGCCCTCACCCTACTGTTTGCACTGCTAGTCGACTGTGGTCATGGCTACCCCTAGTGTCCTCGCTTTTGACGCTGAGGGTCGGGCCATTGACTTCGAGGTCCGGGTAGATGACCTGCAGCTGTTCTTACAGTGCGATAGGGCAGACGGCCTTTCTCTCTTTGACCTCACCTCTGGCGCTTCCCCTGCCCCTCCTGCTGATGCTGACGCCACTGTTCGTTCCCAGTGGGCCACGCGCGACGCTGCTGCACGTCTTGCTGTGCGTCGCCACCTCCCTACCTCCGAGCGTGCACACTTTAGTCAGTACAAGAGTGCTCAGACCTTGTACGACGCTGTAGTTGCGCGCTACTTCTCCCCTGCCACTGCTGCACTGAGCCGTCTCATGCTACCTTACCTCTTCCCTGACCTTGCTGCGTTTCCCACAGTCGCTGACCTCATTACGCACCTCCGCACTAGTGACACTCGCTACCGCGCTGCGCTTCCTGCTGACTTCTGCGCCAAGAACCCCCCCCCCATGTACATCACCCTCTACTTCATAGTCACCCGACTCCCTGACTCCCTTAGAGTGGTCAGGGACCACTTCCTCGCAGTGTGCCCCACCACTCTCACCGTTGACCTCCTCAAGAAGTCCCTCCTAGCGGCGGAGAAGAGCATAGTCGGTGTAGGAGCTTCTCGTGGTGACCCACGCACCCCTTTCTTTGAGGGGTGTTCTCCCTCCCCCCTCTTGCCCTCTGTTGCTTCTGCTGCTGCGGCCGACCTCGTTGGTTTCGAGTCGGTCGGCGCTGCGTCTGCCCCTTCGGGGAAGCGCCGCGCAGGCAGGGGCAAGGGGGGCAAGGGCGCTGGAGGAGCTGGCGGGGGCGGTGGAGGTGGCGCTGGAGGCGGCGGAGGGAGTGGGGGTGGTGGAGGGAGTGGTGGAGGGGGTGGGGGTACCGGTGGCAGCAGTGGAGGCGGAGGCGGCAGCGGTGGTGGAGGGAGCGGAGGAGGCGGTGGTAGCGGAGGCGACGGTGGTAGTGGAGGCGGTGGTGGTGGCGGAGGCGGCGGAGGTGGCGGAGGAGGCGGAGGTGGCGGTGGTGTTGAGATAGAGGCGAGGAATGATGCACTATGAAATGAAACAAGTACAAGTACCAACCCTAATTGGGTTGTACCCCTTATGGGCTACCCCACTACAGCCTACATATATGCATCAGCAATATAATCATCTGACACACCCCCATAGGCAAAGTGGGGGAGAGCAAGGGGTCACAAGACCAGTCAAGTAAAGCAAAGCAAAGCAAAGCAAGCTCAGGGTGGATCTCAAGGATACCACACAAATTCCGAGCACAAGGTCAAGGCCACAAGGCCAGTTCACATGCAGCAGAGCATATATATATAACAGTGCTAAACAAGCAAGAGCAAGGATATATATATGCAGCAGTACAAGCAAGGTCAAGAGGTAAGCAAGTGAGGCCCAGTGGGTACAAGGCCTAGCAGAGTGCAAAAGCGCTGATGGTCACGAGGCGGAAGTGCCTTGGTGAACACATCAGCAGTGTTGGCCTCAGTGGCCACGAAACGCAGGCGAAGCTGACCACGCTGCTGCAGCTCTCGAGCAAGGAAGTAGCGCAGAGCAATGTGCTTCGTCCTGTGCTCCAGTCTATGCTCCTGACACAAGGCAATGGTTGCCTTGTTGTCGACGTACAGCACTGGAGGAGAACGAGGCCGCTCTCCAAGGTCAGTCAGCAGGTAGGTGAGCCAGCGAAGCTCCTGGGCAGCCATGGCCGTGGCGTAGATCTCAGCCTCACAGCTGGAGCTGAGAACCGAAGAAGAGCAAGTAGAGCGCCAAGAGACAGAGCCAGAGCCAAGACTGAAGGTGTAACCCTGAGACGACCGCTGAGTAGCCTGGTCGTCAGCCCAAGAAGCGTCTGAGTGCCCAGTGAGCACAGGCCGCTCTCGCCCTCCAAGCACTAGCCCCATGCCCGACGTACTTCACAAGTAGCGCAACACCCTCTTAGCTGCATCCATGTGCTCCTTCCGGTGACGGCCGGGAGAAACATAGCGTGCTAAGATGCTGAGAGGGTATGCGAGGTCAGGTCGAGTGCAGGTCATCAGGTACATGAGGCAGCCCACAAGCTCTGGATACGGACCACTCGACTCTACGGACTCATCCGAAGGCAGAGCTGAGAGCGAGTGTCCCGTAGGCAGAGGAGTGGACTGAGGCGAGGAGTACGTGAAGCCGAAGCGCTGAAGGACCTGCTGCACCATGTGTGACTGAGTCAGGGTAATGGTGCGGCGTGCTCTGTCCCGGGTGATCCGCAAGCCAAGATAGCTTGTCAGTTCACCTAGGTCTGTGCACGTGTGTCTCTTCTGCAGCTCGGACTTCACGTGGGCGAGTGCAGCAGTGTCCGCAGTGGCAAAGACCAAGTCGTCGACGTACACGAGGATGTAGAACGGCGGCAGCGAGGTGTCGGTGCGCAGAAACAGCGACGGATCAGCAGTAGAAGGAGCAAACCCAAGAGCCGCAAGTGTAGTCCTCAGTGTGTCGTGCCACTCACGCAGCGCCTGGCGGAGACCGTAGACTGGCCGCCGGAGGCTCCACTGGGTACCAGGAGGGAACGACCCAGTGAAGCCAGGAGGGCGGCGCAGCCAGATCTCCTTGTGCAGGCGGCCCTGCAGGAAAGCAGTGCTGAAGTCAAGAGAGTGTAGCTCGTAGTCACGCTGAGCAGCGACGTGCAGTAGAACCCGAAGAGTGGTCATCTTCGGGGTCGGGGAGAAGGTCTGGAAGAAGTCAACTCCCTGTCGCTGACTGAAGCCACGAGCCACGTAGCGCGCCTTGAAGACAGGCGGAGAACCCGGCGGCCGCTTCACCCTGAAGATCCACATGCCACTGACAATGTTCGCCCCAGGAGGGGGAACAGCGTCAACGTAGGTGCCTGTGGACTTCCAGAAAGCCATCTCTGCGTCCATGGCTGACTGCCACCGAGAGGAGTAGGGACCGGCCATCGCCTCTGCGTAAGAGCGTGGGGTCGGGATGTCTAGAGCATCCGGGTCTCCCTCAGGGGCAACAAGCATGGACACGAGATGGGGCAAAGCGGCGGCAAAGCACTGAAACTCCTCCTGCCTGTCCTCAAGGACGTCCGTGCCAAGAGCACAGTCACCCCCGACGGACGGAGGACAGGCAGTCGTAGACGCAGCAGACGCAGACTCAGCAGACTCAGCAGGCTCAGCAACAAGACTGGCAGCGTAGTCTAGACGACACGCAGCAGCAAAGTCGACCAGCTCAGCAACTAGGGCCGACGCAGCAGCGGACTCAAAGGAAGGGTCAGTGACAAGAGTAGCAAGAAGACGCGTAACAGTAGGACTGGCAGCACGGCGAGAGTCCGACTCCGGGTCGGCAAGTGTAGGAAGAGGAGACTGAGGAGGAGAAGGCAAAGGGGCACGCAGAGGAGCAGTGGACGGACGCAGAGACATCCCGTGTGTGCCAGGGACAGGAGGAGGACGCTGACGCGAACCGCGACCACTAGGGCGAGCAGCTCGGACTGGCGACGCAGGGCGGGACGCAGGCTCACGACGCTCAGCAAGACCTCCAGTAGGACCAGTGTAGGGAGAAGGAGAAGGCAGGGGAGAGGCGGGCTGTAACTGTGACTGCGACGGGACAGGCTGTGGGCACTCTACGGGAGGAGAAGGACCAGTGGAAGGTGGGAGACCAAGAACCTGCTGAAGGAGCGGAACGAAGTACGGCCGAGGCCGTGCAGCACCGCCAGAGACAGCAGGGACAGCACCAACACCTCCAGAGGCAGCACCAGCACCAGTATCAGCTCCAACTCCAGCACCTCCAGCAGCACCTGAAGTACCCTCAGTAGGACCGACAGTCGTAGTCTCAGCGTCAGCACCCGCATCAGCTCCAGCTCCAGAGGCACCCCCGGGCCCGGCACCTCCAGTACTCTCAGTACTAGCACCTCCGGGACCCGTGGTACCAGCTCCCTCGGCAGCAACAGAACCTCCAGCACCCGCAGCACCCCCAGCTCCAGCAGCTCGCCTCCAGCGCCGGGCAAACCACTCACGCAGCTCCAGAGGAGAGAGCGGCTCGCGGCGCGAAGAACGGTCCGGAGAACCACCAGGAACAGAAACCAGGCGCAGCACTCCCAGACGCAGCACCCCCTGGCTCAGCACCCCCAGGCCCAGCACCCCCAGGCTCAGCACCCCCAGGCCCAGCACCCCCAGGCTCAGCACCCCCAGTCTCACCACCCCCAGGCACAGCACCCCCAGGCTCAGCACCCCCAGTCTCAGCACCCCGAGGCTCCGCACCTGCAGCAGCACCAGAGTCACCAGTGACCTCAACAGGCTCGACCGCGTCTACCTGAGACACACCTGAAGGGGCAGGACCCTGAGGGGGGAGGGGGTCTACCGGGGGGGGACCTGGGACCAGGAAGAGGGGCGGCGGGGGGAGGGACGGAGTGCGGTAGAGGAAGAACCGACTCGTCGAACGTGACGTCCTGGGAGGACAGAACACGACGAGAGGTGGGGTGGTAAAACTGCCACCCATGCGCGTCAGAGGGGAAACCCAGGAAGACGCAAGGAGCAGCACGAGGGGACAGCTTGTCCGCAGACAAGTCGCGAACAAACGCCCGAGATCCCCAGACACGGAACGCCGACGCATCGCCAACCTTCCCCGTCCACAGCAAAGCTGGGGAGGTCTCCGGTCTGGAGACCCTGGGCTGAAGGTTGATCTGATGCGCTGCGTACCGAACCGCAAACGGCCACAGAAAATGGGGGGCAGCCGCATGCACCATGGACGTACGGGCGACGTCCATGACAATGCCGATGCGGCGCTCAGCAATCCCATTCTGCTGTGGAGAGTCCGAAAGCGTGAAGGTCTGGCGGATGCCTCGCGCCTGACAGTAGGTTCGCAGAAGGCCGGAGGAGAACTCTCCGCCTCTGTACGAGTGCAGACGCAAAACAGGAAAGTCCGAGCCGAAGCTCCGCCTGAGCTGGAGACGAGCTGCGCGGATCCAGTCGATCAACACCTCAGTGACCTCACCCTTGCTGCGCAAGGGGAAGACTGTGGTGTAACGCGAGTAGTCGTCAATCACCAGCAGGAAGTAGCGCTCGTGACCCTGTCCACGGACGCGGGCAGGGCCCCACACGTCCGCGTGAAGCGTCTGCATCGGGGCCTCCGTCGGAGGAAACTGGGAGGAGTGAGGGGTAGCCCGCAGGCGACCCTCGACACAGGGGACACAGGGAGGGCCAGGCCCCGGAGGAAGGGGAGGGAGGGACCGGGGAAGACCAGAGACAAGAAGGCGAGAGGCCATGCCCCGGAGACGAGGCAGGGAGGGGTGACCCATGCGGTGGTGCCACAGGAGGGTCTCGTGGGACAGGAGGCGACACGAGCAGGGGGCAGACTCAGGACCAGACCTGGACGCTGCAGTAAACACCTGACCCGACGCAGCTACCTGACCAGGCGCAGGAGGAGGAGACGGAACAGTGAGTGTGTACAGGCTCGACCCCGGCCCACGTGTCAACGTGGTCAAGTGTCGACCCGTGTCCGCGCCCGTGCAGTGGGTGTCCCGTCGGCGCGCAGGGGTGAACTGGTCAGCCCCTGCATCCTGTAGGTCAGTACCCGCCACCAAGTTCGTAGAGAACGAGGGGAGGTAGAGACCGGACAGGGAGCCAGACGGGACCGCCGGGCACGGAAGGACAGTGGAGTAGCGAGCCAGAACAGGACCCCCAAAGGGGTCCGCCAGGGAGACTGCCACTGGCCGACTAAGCGGCGTGAGTGTGGTGCGGTCTCGAAAGAAGGAGCGAGACGCTCCTGAGTCAAGAGTGAAGGTGAGAGAGGGCGGAGCCGACGCAGTACCTGAGAGAGCAGACTCACCAGCACCTGGGGACACAGACTCACTGGCACGTAGAGCAGCAGCCTCAACAGCACCTAGAGTCGTAACCTCAACAGCACCTGGAGCAGCAGCCTCAACAGCACCTAGAGCCGCAGTACCAATGCTCGGGTCGGGCGGGAAACACCGGTAACAGTCACCCTCCTCACTAATAGTCACAGCATACATGGCACGAAGAATAGCATCAAAGTCAAGATCAAAGATAGCTACTCCTGCCT